TAATCCATACTGTTGAAACTAGGCGAGTAAATAATGAAATTAAATACTTGAAAGAACATCATTACAACTTAAAAGATTTAAATATATGCTGGATTAATGATTGCGTTAGTAATTATGATAATTTTAATAATATATTTTGTACGAAAATGTGCTGTTAGACAAAGACTGCAAGCAATAACCTTTCCCGGTCCATTGCCAGTCATATAAATGTTGGCAATTAAGATCAAACAAAATAAATACAAATATAAAATAAAAAGAGGAAACGCTATAATCGAGTGCCGCGACTATAAGATACCCATTACTGTTTTACAAAATTTTAAAATAATATTTTGCTAGTGGAAATTCACAAGGCGCCACCTATTGTCAGAGGAAGTAGGTTGAGTGTGCCCATGTGAGGACTTAAAACCTTAATTTCTCTATAAATAGCGAAAAAATGTTCCGATTTGAAAAATTTGGTAAATCGATAGATATGAACAGAAATAAGTTATACAAGGTCAAACGAAGGCATTCATAATAATATTATAGACGCCATAGTTTTCCGCGGCTTATGGGCGTTAGTGGGCGTGGCCGGATGCAACTTCGTGGCAAGTTGCAGAGGCATCTCTTAAATACGTGTTCCTAAGCAAAATTTTGTAGCTTTTACAGTTTTCGAGATTTTTGCATTTTTGGTTTTTCGGGTTTTGTGGGCGTTAGAGTGGGCGTGGCTTGATTGAAAAAACAATTCGCATTGGGAGCATCATAAAAACCTACATACTTAATCCGAACTTTCTATCTTTTATAGTTACCGAGATATCAGCTTTTTTAGAAAATCCGAAAACCGTCTTTTGAGCCTTGTGGCCGTATGGGTGGGTGTGGCCGGATAGTAGAACCACTATAAGATGCGCTGGCATCTAAAGATTATACTTTCTGAATTTCAACTTTCTAGCTTCAATAGTTTCTGAGATTTCAGCAATTTTAGTTTTTTGCGATTTGTGGGCGTTGGAGTGGGCGTGGCAGGATTCTGTATCGGGACCTTAAGAATCTTATTGGTTAATGTCTACTTTGTATCTGTTATAGTTCCTAAGATCTCAGCGTTCATACGGACGGACGGACGGACGGCCGGCAGACGGACATGGCTCAATCGACTTCGCTATTGATCCTGATCAAGAATATATACACTTTATAGGGTCGGAAACGCTTCATTCTATCTGTTACATACTTTTCAACGAATCTAGTATACTCTTTTACTCTACGAGTAACGGGTATAAATATTAATAAATACAGTCCACTACATCGATGTTTAAAAAAAAAATAACATTAAAAAATATATACTATACATGTATATAAAAACATATAAAAATAAATACAGTCCACTATATCGTTGTTTTAAGAACATATGAAAGTACGATAAGCCATTAAAAAATTAAAAATAAAGAATATACATATAGTAAAGTGAAAACCATTATAAATAATGTTTCCGTCGTAACTGTAAAGCCGGAGCCTAATCTTGCTGACCCTTGGCAGAATGTTCACACATGAACACGTACATATATATATATATAATATAAGAATGTTATGTAAACATCAAACCGCTGCAGTACTGAAGTGTAAAGCATCTGTATGCATATCTATAAGTTGATAACCGCTTCTCGGACATTAAGTATACCTGCGATATGGGACCTCCTGCGAGTGGTCACCACATGGTTTCTTAGATAATGATATCGGCAGCGGAAATTCCCCGCTTCTACCTGCGTTGGGATATTTAGAAATAATAGTCTAGGCGATATTACTGTTAGCTACCTAAGTTAGGACCATACGGAAATAAATAAATTTGAAATATCAACTCAACAAATGTAGACGTTTGCTTCATTTGCAGCCTCTCTTACAATGAGTCCTTCTGATTTGGATTTATTGATTACAGTGGAGTTGCACTTATTAATTTTTCTCGCGAATCGAACTTAATTGGATGTCCCAGCGTTGCTTCTTCTACCTGGAGTCAATTCAGAAGCTAAACTTAGGCAGGATATTAGGGAGAGTGAGGAATCTTGCAGCGTTCCCAAAATCAACCACCATCCCTGATGGAGAAGTTTATCGCCAAATTTTCCCTAAGTAAGAGGTTGGTCTGGGCCAGATACGCGGCCAAACGAACTCGCTATGCTGATATGTACCATTTCCGACTTACACAGTAATGACCCAAAGCAAAGTGTCCTTATCTTCCGATGCAAAAGCGATCGGGAAAACACCAGAGGTATAATAACCGCCCCAGAGGGTATCTCATGTGTGCATGGCAACACGCTATTATGAATTGTAAGGAGTTCAATCACGCCACAGTCATCGTCAAGAAACATCGGATCTGTCCTTTAAACTAGGCACAGGACATGGTTCTGCCGGAGAAGTATAGGCCAAAGATACTGGGCTTCTATGGAAGTGTGACGGGGTGAGACAGCCAGAAAGTTACAGCATGGCTCTTCAGGGACTCAATAACGAGAGAAAAATGTGACGCAATGACTAGAGCAGCAAGAGGTTAATTATGGCAACAGTGAGAAGTTGTGGTACCTGTGGTCGGGGTCGAGAACCGAAAAAAGTCTGGAAAGATCCGTCTAGTCTTCGTCGCAGCAGCCAACAGAGCTACACTCCCACTCTTCCATTTCAGGGAAGGAGCCATTGGAGTGTGTGCAGACCTAAAGGATATGTTCCACCAAGTATTAGTACATGACAGATGTGTTTAAAGACTCCTGTGGGAGCATTAAGATGATCGGGATGAGCCGTTGGTAAGAGATGAGCCATGTAAAATAGTTCCAGTGTTCACGCTACTAATTTTGGTACTGGACGAGTACAAGCAACACAACTTCACGTCTTTGTGCAGGTGTATTTCGTGGGTTCGAAAACCAAATTTTTTCAGTGACAAGTTCAATCCAGAGAATGGAACTTCTAGCGGCCGTGCTGTGGACCCGGCTGATGAACACTTTGAGGCAGGAGTACAGTGTGGAGATAAAAAGATGCGTATTTTGGTAGGAATCCAAAACTGTGCTGTTCTGGATAAGTAGCACCCACCGGCGATTCAACCAGGAATCGGGTAGCAGATATCCTGGAGACTACTGATGTATCCCAGTGAAGATGGGTAGCAGAGGACGCAACCAGACCGCATCGCCATATGAACTTCAGTCAAGGCGGACCCTCGTTCCTAAGAGAACCTGAAGAGAAGTGTCAGCAGAAAGTAGGCAGCCAACTGAGAGGGTTGTCTTCGAAATTCGACGACGAAGGAGAAAACCGGCACTTTATTATAGTGTCCCACAGACAAATGCTGACGAAGATATCAGTATGCCTCTACCTATGTAATGACATGTCGCAAGGCATTGCTGCTGGACGTACATCCATTCGTATTCTATGCGCAACACTTGTTGATTAACTAAGCTAATTTGTGCTCAAAACTCGGACCCATGTCTTTTTTCTAGTTGCAGGCTGAATCAAACCTTCTATTTTGGCTGTGTTCATTATGTAACCACCTTCCACTTGTACCTGCTCTGAAGTATGGTCTTGGTGGTGTTTGCTCCACATTTGGATATCGTCGCTGCAGTCTACGTTGCACATGGTTCCTAAGTCGATGCCCGCCAAGTCTTCTTGCACCGGTTTAGGAGCGCCTTCGCAGATAATCGGGGAGAGGGCATCAGTTTAGAGTCGGAACTACCTTCTTTGCCCTTAAGTCTCCCTAACGTATATCAGAAAAATATTTATGCTTCCGTAGGAGTAACTTTTATTGAGCGACAGCTTTTTATTGAAGTATAAAAGAAAACTTAAACTATAAGCCAAATCCTTTTAGAATTGTCAAGCCAAGGTTGTGAAAGTGCAATGTCACGAAATTTTACCTTTACTCTATTTTAAACCAAAATTTACCAGGTAAAAATAAGATCTACTATTAATCCTTAAGTCAGATATTTTGCCCGAAATTAAAAACTGGTGTTCTCAATGGGGATAGCGTGGATTACGAGAAATCTTGGCTTTTACAAGAACAAACCATTAAATTTACGACTAGTCTAATTTATAATTGCCAACTTTAATTTATAAATTTCCAGCTGGATACTGACTTTATTCTCTACAAATCATGTATCTTACCAAATTCAAAGTGTATTATAATTGATTACGTTTCAATAACTAAAACTAGCGAGCTTGAGGAATATGTATATACATACATTCTCTAAGGATACCCAAAAAATAAAGGCTTAACAATAATTAAAGTCATATACATATGTATGAAATTATCAATCTTTTAAATGTACTGAAAAATGTTTCAAGGAATATTGAAAACATAGTTTTGGGTTAGTGAAGAAACGAAAATCGTCAAAACGAAATGCAAAAATCTCAAGAACTACAACAGCTTGAAAGGTGTGCTTAAGAATACGTTACGCGTTTTGTGAATTTCCACTAGCAAAATTAATAATTTAAAATGGTGTAAAACAGTATCGGATATCTTAGAGTCGCGGCACTCAACTATAGCGTTTCTTCTTGTTTAGTTCTGCTGTAAGTTAGAGGGTCATCTCTACTTTGGGGAATATTCTTAGCATAAGGAGGATCAGAATGCAAAGATTTAATTTTAAACAAAAACCTTTGAATAATGGAAACGTTTAATAATCAAAGTATTACACTACTATAAATTAATCGTTCCGTTTTCGTCCAAGTTGGAAATTCGAGTTTCTTATTACCCCTGGGTCTTATTGAAAAATGATAACTACAACTCTTTAGTTAGTTTGATAAAAGTTCGATATCAGTCACACAGGATCGAAAACCAGCAGATGATACAGTTTAAATTTGAATGATTAAGGCATTATTTTGGTGGTGGAGAAAAAGAAAACATAGGTCATCGAGACCCCTATTCGCACGTAATATAAATGTTACATTCAAAATAATTTTTGTTCTATCTTATTTGAAAGGTTAATGCGGCTCTGTGGAAAAAGGATGTGAGTATAGTATAAAAGTAATATAATTGTCAGTGTTCTTATTCGTCATTCCGGTGGCTTGTTATATATTGTACAACGAAAAAATGTTTGTTTGGCCCAACGAAAACTGTCATTATAAAGTTATATTTAACCATAAAGTTTTTATTTGTGTAATTTCGTTGTGCTTTATATTAAGCTATAGAATTATTTTTAAAGTTATAATGTCTGAACTTCAGTCATCATTACTGTTAAAGAAACAACTGGCAGGTATGCTTAACAACTTAATACGAATATATACATACATACATGCATACATAAATATGTACCAATATACTCTATCATTGTTATGTTTTTAAGTACCATTGTATATTTGAGAAATTTGTATTTATGCCACATTGTTTTGAAAATTGTATTAAAGCGGAAAACCATATAATCTTTTTAATAAGTTTTTTGATGGGATCTTTTTTTTTATAAGTACTTTTCACATGTATACATAAATATAGAGAAAATTGTTTTAGTCTGCATTAATATTTTATACCATTTACAAATAATGCTACAGTATATAGGTATGTACATGCATACATTAATGGAATTATGCACAGATATATATATATATTTATATACATATGTATATGCATCTATGAATACTATCCCTTCTCTTTGTCCACTAGAACTATACATTCACATACACGAGTAAATAAATACAGTTGCTCACAGATCCATGCATTAAAAAAACAATTTTAAAACGTCACTGATCTCAAGCTATCTTAATTTTCAAAAAGAAATTTATTGAGGTGTAATAAAAGATGTATGTATTTATGTAATTAAAAAAAATACTTTGATTTTCATAGAAAATGAGGGTCTTTTATTTATTTATTTGTATGTACATAGATATGTACATATGCATGTGTGTACATATCAACTATATTTAATACATTTTATTTAAAGTTTAGGATCTTAAATGGGGATATTTTCCATGTTAATTCTTACGGAAAACTACGCGTCATTTGAGATTAAATTAAAAAGTTTAACAGTAATTAAATGGCCCCTAAAAATTTTTAGATCCAATCTTAAATTTGTGAACAATTATGGATCACGCTATTCATAATGGGAAGGATTAAAAAAAAAAAACAAGCTAAAAAAATGTGCTGATGGTAGAATAACACAAAAAAATTATGTGGATTTTTCTATGGCTGCGCAAACGTTAGGAGTTTTATGTTAACCTAAATGGAGTGCACGACATAAAACCGGATCAACAATATCTACAGTGGCTCCAAGCTTATTTCGTGCAAGAAAAAATCGAATTTTTAATTTGATACTGCTACTAAACCAGCAGAGGTATCAAAAAAATTTAAACGCAGTAATGTTAAGAATGTCGCATATTATTAAAATAATAACAAAAGTTTTTACTAATTTAAAAAACAAAAGAATTTTTCATACAAAAACTAAAAAATAGGGCAGCTCCGACGCACAAGCTTATTTCGTGCAAGCACTTTAACGGTTAATAACTCTAAACTAGGACTTTTAAATCCATTTTTTTTTCTTAATACTAGTAAAAATATATTAACAAAAGCATATTTATAAGTTTTCGAGGCTGGGGGCACCCAAAAATTACGGATTAACGAGGATTTTCAAACTATTGCGCCACGAATAATAGTCAATAGTTTGTTGAGCAAAGCGAATTAGTCCTTAAACATTTTAAGGATGGGAAAACCCAGGAAATGGTTGCCTCAAGCCCTAGTACAAACCCATACATAACCCAAACGCTTTTTTACGAAAATCGGGGGGCAGAAAGGGGCGGTAATGCACCGAACAAAATTTTTAATGACCAGGAGGAGAGACGTATTGTCCCAAAAGTGAAGGAAAACCCCAAGCTATCGGCTCCAAAAATAGTTGAGGAGATCGAGAACGAAATGGGCAAAAAATGTTGCCCAGGTACAGTTCGGAACATTTTACAGAACCATAACTTTAATGGTCGAGTTCCTAGAAAAAAGCCCTTTATAAGTGCTAAAAATAAGTTGGCGCGCGTCAAATTCGCCAGGGAACTTGAAAGTAGTCCGATTTTGGTCTGGAACGACGTTATGTTTGTGGACGAATGTCCTAATGTAATATATTTGGGTCCCAGATGAGGAAATATGTTTGGCGGCGTCCCAATACAGAGCTACATTCAAAAACAAAAAATCAGCGGCTAAGCACGGCGGTGGTCATGCTATAGTTTGGGCATGTATTACTGTGTCCGGCGCCGGAAATTTGGTTTTTATTGACGGAATCATGGATGCCAATAAATATTCAACTATTTTGAAAGAAAATTTGGTACAAAGCTTGGGGTTTTCCTTCACTTTTGGGACAATACGTATCTCCTCCTGGTCATTAAAAATTTTGTTCGGTGCATTACCGCCCCTTTCTGCCCCCCGATTTTCGTAAAAAAGCGTTTGGGTTATGTATGGGTTTGTACTAGGGCTTGAGGCAACCATTTCCTGGGTTTTCCCATCCTTAAAATGTTTAAGGACTAATTCGCTTTGCTGAACAAACTATTGACTATTATTCGTGGCGCAATAGTTTGAAAATCCTCGTTAATCCGTAATTTTTGGGTGCCCCCAGCCTCGAAAACTTATAAATATGCTTTTGTTAATATATTTTTACTAGTATTAAGAAAAAAAAATGGATTTAAAAGTCCTAGTTTAGAGTTATTAACCGTTAAAGTGCTTGCACGAAATAAGCTTGTGCGTCGGAGCTGCCCTATCTTTTAGTTTTTGTATGAAAAATTCTTTTGTTTTTTAAATTAGTAAAAACTTTTGTTATTATTTTAATAATATGCGACATTCTTAACATTACTGCGTTTAAATTTTTTTGATACCTCTGCTGGTTTAGTAGCAGTATCAAATTAAAAATTCGATTTTTTCTTGCACGAAATAAGCTTGGAGCCACTGTATATGTATATTTACATACTATATGTGTATGTACATACAGTGACGAACAAAATTTTTGGCACAGAAGGCTTCATTAACTTTTATGCACGATTTCTCCCCTTAAAATTTAGATGTTTAAATAAAAAAAAATGTATACATATAATAAAACAAAGGCCAACCTGAAGGTGGCTCTAATAGAAAAGGGGTAGAAACAACACAAAATTTCGTTTTTTCGATGCCAAAACGGTTGGAAGCCTTTATAAAACAAAATGGCTTAGCCACAAAGTATTAATTTTAGGTATTTTAATTTATTTTTAAGTGTTGCTATAAGTGTGCCAATAATTTTGTTCAGGGAAATTCAGTTCTTAATTATGTTTTTTAATTTTTAAAAATCAACCATTGAAGGTAAAAAATTGAAATAAACTTTGTCGTGTTATGTTTTTATAATATTATATGTAATATTGAAGCCTTCTGTGCCAATAATTTAGTTCGTCACTGTACCTGTTACTCCAAGAGTAAGGGATATTTTGTATATATTGAAAAGTACAGTGAGTGGCTCCAAGCTTATTTCGTGCAAGAATAAATCAAAGTTTAAATTTGATACTTCTACTAAACCAGCAGAGATATCAAAAAAATTTAAACTCAGTAATGTTAAGAATGTCGCATGTTATTAAAATAATAACAAAAGTTTTTACTAATTTAAAAAACAAAAAAATTGTTCATACAAAAACTTAAAAATAGGGCAATTCTGACGCACAAGCTTATTTCGTGCAAGCACTTTAATGGTAAATAACTCTAAACTGCGACTTTTAAATCCATTTTTTTCTTAATACTAGTAAAAATATATTAGCAAAAGCATATTTATAAGTTTTCGAGGCTGGGGGCACCCAAAAATTAAGGATTAACGAGGATTTTCAAACTATGGCGCCACGAACAACTATTGAGCAAAGCGAATTAGTCCTTAAACATTTTAAGGATGTGAAAACCCAGGAAATGGTTGCCTCAAGTCCTAGTTCATAACCCAAAGGTTTTTTTGCGAAAATCGGGTGGGGTTTTTCTTTATTTCCTTCCTCGTGGTCATTAAAAATTTTGTTCGGTGCATCACGGCCCTTATCTGCCACCCGTCAGATTTGCCCTATTTTTTAGTTTTTGTATAAAAAATTCTTAATTCCTTATCTATGCTGGTTTTGTAGCAGTATCAAATTTAAACTTTGATTTATTCTTGCACGAAATAAGCTTGGAGCCACGGTATGTAACAGTAGGAACAGAAGGAATCGTTTCCGACCCCATAAAGCAGGGGTGCTCAACGACTATGCTCTGAATCATTTGTTTTTCTAAATGCTTAGAGCATACATACATATCAGAGAACGGCAAGGGTACACTCAGACATTGAGTGCACCCGAATCATTTGTGCCATCTCGGCACTCAGATAAGGGTGGGTGTCTTGCACAACTCATTTCGAATGTGCACCTGCGCACCCAGTACTCTCCTGCACAGACACCCAACATACTCATAGCAAATGAAGGGAGTGTCTGAAACACCCATGTTTTTGGGATGAGTAATTCGGGTGTCTTCAAATGATCCGAGTGTTTCGGGTGTCTTCAACTGATTCGATTGTTTCGGGTGTCTTCAACTGATCTGAGTGTTTCGGGTGTCTTCAGCTATAATGCATGAGCAGGTCATTGAGGGTTGACCGAATAATTTTACATGAAAGGAAGGAAGGAAATCCCAATAATTTAACATAAACATAGCCCCTTAAAAAAGCCAAAATAATTTGTTTTCCGTTTGGATTAATTTTATTCTTAGATAAGTATATTTTTAATAATAAAAATTATTGCCGTCTTCAGTAACTAATATTAAAAAATAATAAATTTATAAACATTGCAAGTGATTAGTCTTCAATGACAAAGTCTTAAAAAACCCAAAAAAACTTACATTGCATCAATATTTTAGGATTTTCCGTGTCTTTATCAAGATATCTACCTATAAACTTATTACCGTTTTTTGCAGATGCATATAAGAATACAGATCATAAGTCAATCCTTCCTTCTTTTCATGTAAAATTATTCGGTCAACCCTCAATGACCTGCTCATGCAATACAGCTGAAGACACCCGAAACACTCAGATCAATTGAAGACACCCGGAACACTCGAATCAGTTGAAGACACCCGAATCACTCATCCCAAAAACATGGGTGTATCAGACACTCCCTTCATTTTGTATAAGTGTTTTGGGTGTCTGTGCATTAGAATCATGTGCATAGAATTGAGTGGGTGACAAAAACGCAAACACTCAAAACACACAAAACGATCTGTGCACTCGGCTGTGTGCTCTTTTCTTGCTGTTCATGAGTGCGA